AAAATCACAATTGTAGTTGGTTCCGCTAGGCAGGAGACTAAGTTGTGAACCACACAAAAATCCTCAAATTCATTCCATAGGTTGCTCAGGTGCTTTTTAAATGCGGATTTCAGTGATAGGAGTTGCTATGCTCTTGAAAATAAAGAGTTTAAAAAGATATTTTTACAGTCTGAAACTGCCATAGTGGATTTTTCCACAGTTCTGGTAGTAAATTCCCTCCCTGACACGGCAAGAAACTCTGGGTTGCTGGAGGTAGGTTTATTAGATCAGTTCGTTGTCGGAGTAGTAGAGGCCACCAAGGAGCTGAGACCCAAATTGTGGTAATCAACACTATTGTGGTCTGAGTTTGCAACCCATGTTCCAAAACCCTGTAAACCATGCTTAGAGAGGGCAGACGTAATTGATCTCGTTGCTCCAGTCCTGGGTAAAGCAATCTACTGCTTCTGATTCTGGGCTATAAAATCGGCTGTTGAAGCGTTTTACTTTCCTTGTTCGAATACTTACCATACGGTCTACAGTAAATGGTCCTCATCTCTCGCTTAATATATTGAATAATACTTGGTTCAGTGACCAGTCCGATTCGTCGAACATTCTCGTTAGTTCATCTACTGGGTTTAGTTCTGATAGAACCTATTGGAACTCGTGGATTCTGATGTAGTACGAGTTGCAAAAGTCCCATATTTCATGCATTATTTCCTTTTGTCATGGCCTTTTCCCACCTGACCCTACTGTTTTTCTGGCTACTTGGTTGTCTATAAAGACTGTTACATAATGATGCGTAATGATCAAGGCAAAGGATTCCAGGCCTAATAAAGTTGCGAGTGACTCGAGAACTGCGATGTCTGTGTGTTTGTGGTGGTATGCCCAGTTTCCAAAAGCCTTTCGTGTTCCTAACACTGCCGACCAACCTGTCGTAGATGCATCTACGAATATTGAGAGTCATCTGAATAGCTATCCTTGTGACCACTCTGATTTCTGCCTTAATAGTTATATCCCCAACGCCGATACTCTGATGGCTTGACTAAGTCATAAGACTTCTGTTTTTTATGTTTTTTCACTTCAACTAATGCTTTTGCCTTTTTAATTAGATTATTCTTTCCTTTTAACCAATCCTCTTGGGTGTCAGGTAAGGCTGAGGCAATGTTCTAACCAAAACCATCAGCTACCCTCAAGGTAAACATCCTATTCCCTACCAACTCTTTTGTGGCCTCAATATGACTTGCTGCATCAGCCATATTTCTGGAATCTATAGTCAAATCTAGTTCCCTACCAATTTGGCGCAGTGTATTATACTCATGTTGATCACAATGCTTCTTAAACTTATGTTTCGGCCAAGCTTCCTTAATCTCTGCCTTGCTATGTGTTTCTTGGACTTGGTGTGCTATTAAGTTCAGTTTGTTATCAAAGTTTAGCATGGCATTTTCCAATTTTTGAAACCCTGACAATACTCTCAATTAATGGATCAGAATTATCCTCCTCTTCGGCTTGTAATTTCTGTTTTTTAGTCTTATTGGTCTGCTGTGGGTTGTCAGCTGTTTCTGCTGTATCTTGGGGGAAAACCGATGATAATGCAGCATGTAATAGGCGCTTGTTCTTCTGAAGTAATTCTCTTAACGTTTGTGTTTCAGGATTTAACATTTTAGTAGTTTCAGTATTAAGATCGGATATTACTGATTCGTTATCAGCTTCATCATTCGTGAACTTCATTCCGTCCACATTTTTCTCACAGAGTTCATTTGTTTGGTATTCCTTTAACCTTTGTACAAGGTCTGCTTTATTTCCTTCGGTGAATATGCCTAAACTATGGCAAATATCAGATAATTCATTTTTTGATATATTTGAGTCTATCAATTTTTTTTTTTTTCACGATGAGCACTAAACACTAAGAGCCAGATATCAATTGAGCAGCGAAAGAATGAAGCACTAAAGATTATCTTCTGCCTACTTTCTATAAAATACCTAACTCAGGTTACGCAAGGCTAAATCACAGATTGGAGATCATCCTCGCGATAATACCTCTTGTATGACTATTATCAATGCAATGTGCCATTATTAAAATTTCATTTTTGAATTCTACAACCATCATTTTTTTTATATATCTTAACACAGTAGATTTATTTCTTGGTTGCTTAAAAATTCAAAGACATTCTCAATAATTATAGAATACTGTTGGCCCAAAGGAATATCTGCAACATATAACTATGAGAATCTTTAAAATAAATAAATACGTAATACTCTGCCTTCATTATAATTTCACGTGATTATTTGAGTTCCTACAAAAAATTCCCGGTCAAAATATAATTGCATGAGGAAATTATAATGAAAGTAAAAATGATCAATATATAGTAAAAGTAAGGCAGGATATTAG